CCAGTCGGCCGGTCACTTAGGCTTTTACATATATAAATATACATAATCCATGTACACAGACAATAGTGTGGTGAAGGCCTGGGGGTAGGAGTGGGGTGTAGGGGGTCAATGGGAAAAGAAGGGGGACATATGTAATACTTTCAACAATAAAGCTAAATTTAGAAAAATAAAAAATGAACTTTTCTATTCATAGCAGCTTAAGAGCTAGACAAGACTTGAAATTCCTTCTTATTAAATTTCTATTCACCACTAGAAAATAAATTGCACAATTCCCTGATTTACCCATAACTGTATAACCAATCATATAAAGTGTTGGGTCACAGCCCCTCTGCGGACACTGGAAATTGCATGAAGACACGAGGAGCCGCAAGCAGATGGGAGAGACTTTACTGCAGATAGAGAAGCTATTGCTAACAAGGAGCTACCAGACAAAGCAGTTCCTCAACGTAGCTCCCCACAGCAGCCTCACACGGGCTGGTCAGCAACACATCTTTATACCAACTCAGACAAAAGAGGCTTCTTGCCAAATAGTGACATCAGTATTTGGGTTATAGACAGGTGCGCCTGCGCAGTGCCTTCAGGGAAACTGCTGCGTCATTGCCTTTGCTTATGGGTGTGGCAAATGGGCCTTTATCATCTGGCATACTCAGGGCAGGGTCCCTACAGAAGGGGGCCAGGTTTTATACATAGCAGGCATTCAGTATTTAGGTTTTTATCAAATGAATGAATAAATAAACCAATAGGTAGGTGCATCAGAATCACGGTGGAGTAAAACATTCCTCTCTTCTCTTCCCTTTTTATAACAATGAGTTAGACTTCTGTTGCCAAACAGAAGGCCTCCAGCACTACACTAAGAAACCTGCAGGTTTCTAGTTCATTTGTGCATCTGCAAATAAGTAAAGGAACCTGGTGGAGGCTGCAAATCCAAGGGAGACAGTTAACTGGTCCCAGTTAACTGCAATCAGGAAAGAAAGAACCTGGAGAGCACAGGACTGGGCAGACACCCAAGGGCAAGAGAATTTTAGAAAGTGTCCAACCTGCCTACAGGGAGGTTCCAGAATGCATTGGAGTTGAATAGGAAGGCGTTTGGATACAGAGAAGAGGGAAGAAGTTGCCAAGGTGGGTCCCCCTCCCTAAGGTGACAAGGCAAGAGGTTAGGCGTTTTGCGGTGGCAGTGGCTACCCTTCTGGCAGAGGAGGTAGAGAGCAGTGACCTTTCCCAAGGAGGAGGTAATCACCACAATAAAAAGTGTAGAATACATTCACAGGACATAAAAAAGGGAAGACAGCATACCACCATGAGAAACCACCAATTTACAAAAGCAGGTAGAAACAGAAGAAAAAAGAAACAATGAAGATAAAAATCAACTAGCAGACAAACAATAAGATGGCAGCAACAAGTCCTTACAGATCAATCACTCTAAATGTAAATAGATTGAATTCGCTATCAAAAGGTGAAGAGTAGCTGACTGGATGAAAACAAGCAAGTAAAAAACAAAACAATGGGATATGCACAACAATACCTAACTATATACTGCCTACAGGAAACTTATTTCATCTCCAAAGACACCCACAGGCTCCAAGTGAAGGGATGAAAGAAGATATTCCTGGTAAGTAGAAACCAAAAGAATGTGGGTATAGCCATAGCCATACTTATTAGGTTAAAAAAAAGACTTCAAGTGAAAAATGTAACAAAATACAAAGATAAAAAGAAGGTTATGCTTTAATGATAAAGGGGTTAGTACATCAAGAAAATATAACAAACATCAACGTACATGTAGCCAACATCAGAGCACCTAAATATATTATGCAAATACTAACAGGTTGGAGGGAGAAATAATGATACAATAATAGTAAGGGACTTCAATATCTCACTCTCACAATGGATAGATCAATCAAATTGAAAATCAACAAAAAAATGTTAGAATTGAAACAAAATAGACTTGACATAAATAGAACATTCTACCCAATAGTAACAGAATACACAGTCTTCTCAACTGCACATAAAGCATTCTCTAGGATAGATCATGATAGGACATAAAACAACTCTTAGCAAATTTAAGCAGATTGAAATCATATCAACTATTTTCTGACTACAATGGTGTGAAACCAGAAATCAAGAAAAAAGCTGGGAAATCTATAAATATGTGAAAACCAAACAACACACTTCTGAACAATGAATGCGTCAAGTGAGAAATCAAAAAAAAAGTTATCTCAAAACAAAAATGGAAAGACAATATATCAAACCCTATGGAATGCTAGAAAAGCAGCTCTGAGGAAAGTTTACAGTGATAACTGAATATATTAATATATTTGAAAGATTTAAAATAATTGAATTTTACTAGTATACCTCAAACAACTAGAAGAAGAAAAAAATAAGTTAAAAGTTAGGAGAATGATGGAAATAATCTAAAGGAAATAAAGATCGGCATAGAAATAAAATAAAGACTGAAAAAAAAAACAAAAGGATTAAAGAAACTAAGAGGTGGTATTTCAAAAATAAACAAAATTGACAAACATTTATCCTAACTAAGGGGGAAAAAAGGGGATAAGACTCAAATAAAACGAGAAATGAAAGAGGAGACATTACAACTGATACTACTGGAATACATAAGTGATCATAACAACTATATGCCAACAAATTAGAAAGTGTAAAAGAAATGAATACATTTATAGAAACATACAACATACCAAGACTAAATCTGGAAGAATTAGAAAATCTGAATTGAATCAGTAATAAAAAACATACCAACATGGAAAACACTAGGAACAGATGGCTTCACTGGTAAATTCTACCAAACATTTTAAGAACTAGTGTTAATCCTTCTTAAACTTTTCAAAATAATTGTAGATAAGGAAAAACTTTCAAATTCATTCTACAAGGCCAGCATTACCCTAATACCAAAGTCAGATACGCAAACAACAATATAGATCAATATCACTTATAAATATAGGTGCAAAATGTACCAGTAAAATATTTGCAAACTGAATTAGACACTTTAAAAGGATTATATACCATGACCAAGTGGGATTAATCCCTGGAAAACAAGGATGGTTCAGCATATACAAATTGAACACAATAAATTCCATTAATAGAATTAAATATAACAATTAAATGATCATCATAAAAGATTCAGAAAAATTACTTGACAAAAATAAAATATCCTTTCATATTAAAAAACAAACAGTTTTCAACAGATTGGGTATACAAGGAATATACCTCAACACAATAAAGGCCATCTATGACAAATCCACAGCTAACATTATACTCAACTTTACATAACTAAAAGCTGCCCTAACTGGTTTGGCTCAATGGATAGAGCGTCAGCCTGTGGACTGAAGGGTCCCAGGTTTGATCCCAGTCAAGGGCATGTACTTTGGTTGCGGGCACATCCACATCTGGGGGTGTGCACGAATCAGCTGATGTTTCTCTCTCATTGATGTTTCTAACTCTCTATCCCTCTCCCTTCCTCTCTGTAAAAAATCATATATATATATATCCTATATAATAAAAGGCAAATTGTCCCCTCAACTTGGAGTTTGACTCTCAGCAACTGCCCGAGACCCCCTCCTCCCAGCTGGCCCCAGACTCTCTATCCCTCTCCCTTCCTCTCTGTACAAAATCATATATATATATCCTATATAATAAAAGGCAAATTTTCCCCTCAACTTGGAGTTTGACTCTCAGCAACTGCCCAAGACCCCCTCCTCCCAGCTGGCCCTACCCCCAATTGACCCACCCCCTGATCTTGGGTGGGGCTGGCCGGCCAACCAGCCCTGATGGCCCCAATCAGGACTGTGCAAGATGACCTGATCAGCCCCGATTGCTGGCCAGGCAAAGGGGCCCCACTCATGCATGAATTCATGCACCAGGCCTTTTAAGCAATATAGCCAACAATATTGTGGTATAACCAAACTTGGTAAAAGTCTAGAACTTCTTTTGTAAAATGGGTCTACTATTTCCTTATGATGTGTTTAATGTTTCTGAAAGTCAAATCACTGAAAACAATTCTATAGACTAACCTGGGAAACAAAAATGGCAGCACCGATTTAAAAAAAAATCATTAAACTTTAAATTGCATTTATATATTGATACAGGTATATCTTAAAGACAAGCTAATACATTGACAATAAAGGCAAACTATCATTTACCTGACTTGTCTGAAAGAATTAAATTCAATTTGCCATTTCTGGTATTATTCAAAAAGCTTATTTAAAACATAAGACCTTGATAACAGAGACCAAGAATTAATCATTTCCCCTCCACCCTACCCCTGCCTACTATTCAAACACAAATTCTTTCTTTTCATACCCTCTACAAAATTCCTAACTTGTTTAGTCTCTTACAAACAGTAGTAACCCTCCCACACACAAATAGAGCAGGAAATTCATAAACTCCATCGTAATCATGCCTCAGCCTCTTCTATCAACTTTCACCCCAACTGTATTCAATCTTCATTCCTTTCTCCATTCATCCATATTTTTCAACTTCTCAAGTTCAAATAATAAAAAAAGCAACAAAAACAAAAAACATCTTCTACCTGATTACCATCTCACAAAACTCTCCCAGATTGCCCAATTTCTTTTTGTTCTTCAGTTCTACTCTACTAATCATTTAAATTAATTTTTAAATGATATTTTGTAAAATCCCTTAGAAGTTTGGGATCAGAGCACCAATAAACCCACAAAATGTATTTATTTGTATTGGGCTTTCGCTTTCTTGGTGAACTAGAGCAACGATGCTCACCACCAGCAAACAAGTGGCCAAAGGTGAAGTATAGAGTGAGATGAGTCATGGATCCAAAACACATTCAAGATAATTATGGATAATCATGAGATATATGCCTTCATATGTCCATATTTTATGAGATGCACTGTGTTACTGACAAAGGAGAACTGAAGCCATCATTAAATAACAAAGCTACTAATTCTAGACCTTGGACAAACCTCCTGGGCTGTCTGTCAATGCTCTCATTTCTTACTCCTCATCCATCTCCTTACCAGAGCTACTGCAGCGGGAGGGGTCAACAGGTCTTCCGTTTTTATCAGAGCAGGCTATTGCTCGGAAGCGCGCGCCCTGTCCGCATTGTTTGCTGTCTCCTTGTACCCACAATCCTCGCTGAGGCTCCTTTCTGCTTTCAGGAAGAATGCAATCTGACCAATTTCCGTAAGGTTGGGATATAAATACATCGCAAGGACACAGTTCTGTTTCCACTAGAGGGTACATGTCAGCATCCTGGCACTTCTCCTTCTTCCTGCTTTTTCCTGTGCCAATAAGAAACATTGGTGTATTAATTTCATATCTGCTGTTTTGTTAAAATTCACTCACAGTATTATATTTAAAAGTTCTTAACAATATTGTCTTAAATAATATAAAGTCTTTTTAGTTTTCATTCTTTTGTGCATAGAATTAAATCCTAGGACAATGGAAGCAATTCCCAGAGTAGATGTAAAATTCAAGTTAACTTGACAAAAAAAAAAGTGTTTGATGTTGGAGAGTGGCACAAGATAAAACGAGAAACATTTGCTACAGTGGCTCAACAGTTAGAAAATTCTTGTCAATGTATTTATTATTTTCCCTACAATATGTTGATAAAAAACAGATTAATTACCTTGTCACCATTTTCCTTGAAAGTTATGGTTGCCAAGGAAACTAACAAAAGGTATAAATACTGACTCCTTTTTTCTTTTTTCCAAGAGACTTTTTAAAAACCAATTATTTATTCAAGGAATAAAATAATATCTCCCATACAATGGAGTGAGTCTGGGTGTCACTTGGATGTGATAGACAAAGTGGAACTTACTTTGTTTCCCATTACCAGGCAGTTTACAAACACCTGCAGAATCAATAGATTGAAATACATGCTAAAATCATACTGAATAATTTAATCTGAGAAAAAGCTATGGCTTCTACTTTGAGAGACCTTTCTTAAGGATTCTGAATATGACTTCACCTTACCAAATGACTGTAATGAACATTTTAGTTGTAATCCCAACTTTGAATAATGACAATGTGGAGTCAATGTTCACAGCTCTGAGTACCAGATAACCATGTTTAATGGATTCCAAGTCAGCCTGTAACTTGATTCAACTTTACCATCAATACACTTCCTTTAGATTCCTAAACGTTTCCCTCGATCTAGTAATTCCACTTTTTGTTTCCTCATTAATGGGTCATTAGCTAGCCATGGCTGTTTATTAAAAGTGGGCATCTTTCTTGATCTAGTCCCAGTCTTTAGGATTATTTTATTTTTTAATATGTTTTTTATTGCTGATAGTGTTACAGATATCTCCCATTTTGTCCCCCTTCACCCCTCCTCTCAACCTCTACCCACCCACCCCCAGGTCTTCACCATCCTATTTCCTGTGTCTATGGGCTATGCATATAAGTATGTAAGTTCTTTGGTTTATCTCTTCTTATCCGCCCTCAAAATACTCAATACAAGCTAATACATAGACTACTTTCTCCTTATCAGACAGTTTACATTACACACAACAATTCTATGGTTGTCACCTAATCAGTGGCTTTCTGGCCTTTCCTGATTTTTAAATTATTTTTAAACTAGAGGCCTGGTGCATGAAATTTGTGCCAGGGTAGGGACCCTAGGCCTGGCTGGCGATCAGGGTCGAATTGTGGGGCAATCAGGGGATCCCCCCCCCACCCCCCGTCACCTGCCTTAGCTGGCCTAGGGCCTGCAAGCTGGGGGAAGCTCCTGCATTGAGCATCTTCCCCCTGGTGGTCAGGGCATGTCATAGCAACCAATCATTCCACCGGTCTTTCTGCTTCTTGGTCGATTTGCATATTAGGCTTTTATTATATAGGATTATTAATTGATTTGAAGAGAGAGAGAGAGAGCAAGCAACATTGATTTGTTGTTCCACCTATTCATGCATTCATCAGCTGCTTCCCATACGTGCCCTTACCAGGGATCGAACCTACAATCTTGTCATATTGGGATAATGCTCCAAGCAACTGAGCAATCCTGCCAGGGCCTTCCCTTATGCTTATGGCCACAATAAACAAGGATTTTTACAGGACCTGCAATGATCTTGCAAAAGCTTCAGACACACCACTGTACCTCTCTGAGCATCTTCCCCCTGGTGGTCAGGGCATGTCATAGCAACCAATCATTCCACCGGTCTTTCTGCTTCTTGGTCGATTTGCATATTAGGCTTTTATTATATAGGATTATTAATTGATTTGAAGAGAGAGAGAGAGAGCAAGCAACATTGATTTGTTGTTCCACCTATTCATGCATTCATCAGCTGCTTCCCATACGTGCCCTTACCAGGGATCGAACCTACAATCTTGTCATATTGGGATAATGCTCCAAGCAACTGAGCAATCCTGCCAGGGCCTTCCCTGATGCTTATGGCCACAATAAACAAGGATTTTCACAGGACCTGCAATGATCTTGCAAAAGCTTCAGACATACCACTGTACCTCTGTGAGGATGTATTCATTCGCTTTTCCCATTAGAGGTACTTACTAAGAACACATTTGAAAAACACGGTTTCCAGCATGGCTTGAAATTGCACTGGTTGAGAGATGTACAAATAGGTGGTGAATAGCTCCTTCCATCAGCATTTAGTTTAACCTACCCGAATCTATTATCTCCATCCCTTCTAATTCCACTGTCTTCTCAACACACTTAACCCTGAATTCTGAATTTAACTATTGGTTGAAACCACTTACTCTTGCCAAAGTAATAAAACAAAGCGCTGGAATATCTTTTTGTCCCTTATATTTCAGAGTTGGTTGTTTAATGACAGTTCAGAGTGAGACTTTACCATCATTCTTAAAATATCCTTTCCAAGTTCTATCACACCTTACCTTTTTGTCTCTCACCCTTATCCCACCTCTCCACTATTTCTCTGGTAACACCTTACTTGTTTGTTTTTTTTAATTTTTCTTCCTCTATACCTCCCTTAACTGACTGATGGGCTTCCTGGGGGCACTGCCCTAGATTCTCTTTTCTGATCCTAAATTTTCAACACCATAATGTTTAAATAACCATCTAGAACTCATAAATCCATCATTATTATCTTCAGCCCATACTTCTTGTTCAAGCATCTGAGCCACAGACTAGAAATCTACACCTAAAAGGCCAATCAGATTCAACCTGGCAAAACCCACACTCATCCTCTTAGTATCTCTTTCTCCTTTATTTCCCAATTATATCAACATGACCAAGTCCAAAACTTGTCATACTTAAATCATTCTGTTGTATACCTATATCTATTTAATGGCAATGACCTATCATTCCAAATACCTATATATCTCTTGAATTAGTTCAATGTTTCCATTATGGCCAATGACACCCATACTTAGCTCACCTCCAAATCAACAGCTTAAATCACTACAATGGCTTCGTCCAAAATTGTATTGCCACTCTGCCTCATTCCCTTCAGTCTATTGCCCTCACGGCAGTCAGGACTAGCTTACAAAGATTGAAATCTGATCACATCATCCATCTACCTTACACTCTCCAGTGACTTATCACAGTTCATGGAATGAAATCTGGCCTCCTCACCATGGTTATCAAGGACCATAGGATCTGAGCCCATAAATGTCTGTCTCCTGCCTGCATTGGACTACCCTGCCTCTGGCATGTTTGGACAAAAAAGAAAAAGGCTATAATAAGTCATAAATTCCTAACGGGGCAGGTCATGAAAAAGAAATAAAATACCTCTTTTTCAGCAGCCATCGACGTTTCTCTTTCTCCCTCCTTCCCTCTCTAAAATAAAAATAAATAGCCTTTTTCAGACCTCTAGGAAGTTAATCACCCTCAAGAGAGCACAAATCTTAACTATCCTGTAATCCAATTCCTGTTGCTTTCTCCCACCATCATATAATCTTCCTTATGTTCTCTCCTTAATTTCAAATGCATACAAGAAACTGCTTGGAGCTTTTGAGATCTTACTCTCTGGCATATGTTATCAGTTTGGGCTCCAAAAAAGAAACAAAAACAAAAACTCTTATAAAAATTCTCTACAGGTCTGGACACTTCTTATGTCAACACATGTGACAAGCTAGTAATATTGAGAACCTTTCAGTTCCTAAAAATTATCCATTTGGCTTCTGGCCTTTGCATGGCCCCACTTCAGACATTCTCAACAGTTCCATTCTCCCTCCAAAGCCTAGTTACTGCCTCCATGTTCTTCAGGTCAAACTAATAGACTGCTCCCTCCAGAAAGCCACATGGAACATGCTCTTCATCTCAGGTCTAGAAGAGGTGTTCTTCTCATATAGTTAGTTGAAGGCAAATAATGGCTCTCCAAGGAAGTTCCCATCCTAATTCCTGAACCAGTAAACATGCTCCATTAAATGGCAAAATAAACTTTGCAGATGTGAATAAAACTATAGATTTTTGAGATGAGATTAGTCTGGATTATATGGTTGGGCCTAACCTAATCACATGGTCCTAAAATCAGAGGACCTTTCCTGATTGACTAGGAAGTCAGAGAAAAATATGACTATGGAAGAGTGGACACAGAGAAGCAAGGTTGCTAGATTTCAAGTCAGAGGAAGTGAGAGCCATGAGCCAAGGAATGTGAGCAGCCTACAGAAGCTGGAAAAGGAAAGCAAACAGATTTTCTTAGTGCCTCTTGAAAGGAATTCAATCCTGCCAAGATCTTGTTTTTAACCCTATGAAATCCATGTCTGACCTCAGACCTACAGAGATGTAAGATAACAAATTTGTACTGTTTTCAGCCAACACATTTGTGGCAATTTGTAACAGTAGCATTAAGAAAGCAATACAACACCCTTTATAACAGCTATTGGAGCATACTGCACTGTGTTGTACCACTGAGCAGAAACTATACTGGTCAAAATCTTCATCTCCCATTAGACCGTAAGCTCTAAGTTAGGATCATGTCTAATCCCCTTATAATATTCTCAAAGCCTCACACACATAAGTGATCAACAAAAAATGTTTATACAATAATTGAAACAAGAAAATTTTAAGAAGGGAGAATGAAAGAGAGAGAAGGAAAGAAGAGAGTAAGTGAGATGAAAAGAGAGAGAAGAGGAAGAAAGAACATGTTAATCAACAAGGCAAACTAAAGTTCCTGGCAGAACAAATATTCTGTACAATATACATTCTCTATATTTATGATCTTTCTTAACTACATGGAATCACTGTTTGACCAACTTGAGCAAGTTAGTTAATGCAGAAATGGTTTTCACAATAAAGAACAAAATTACTTTGATTATCTTCTTGTCAATATCAGTATTAACCTTTGGATTCAAATTAGCTACCACTAATTTTTTTTAAAAAAAATCAATCCCTACTACCACTCTAAAGACATTTTTCTCCTTAAATCAGAGGGAAATTTGTGACTGATCCCACCAAAAACAGAACTAAAGTACTAAATATGTTTGTATTGGTTATCTAGTTACTATATATATTAAAACCTGGACATATCTTCTATGTAATGGATTATTTCCAGCATTATAAAAACAACGGCTCTGATTACCAATCTAAAAACCTGTGATGATTTAGTTTAGAATCAATGCACAAACACCCAGATATTGAAGTCTTCTGTTTAAAATGTAAAAAAAGAATAATAAGCACCCTTGATGGTCCCCTATTCAATGCAGAGGCTTGCATTTGTGTGTGTGCCTCTCCAAGTGTGGCTGTGTTAAAGAGGCACATTGCTTTATGGTGTAAGTTCATGCCTCTTATTGTCATTCATGCTCTCGATTGCTTATTAAATTTACTACCAAATTACATGGAGAAAAGCAAAATACAAGCGGTATATCACAATCAAAATAAGTCTTCAGAAGTTGAAATTTTCAATTCACTACCTTTTTTTCAACAAAAATAGTAAATGATTTATTTGACTGGTTTTGCAAAGCTCATATTTAAATAAGTTGAGAAGTTATTTTGGTGTAGCTTAGATGTTAAGACACACAAAAGATCATTCAGCTAGCTAAAAGCATGGCAGTTAATTTAGAAAAGAAATTCTAAATACTTTTTAGTACAAGTAATTTTAAGATAGAATTTGCAGAAACATGTTCAATATTTACATAAAAATATATTTTAAATAAATCAAATTCATTAAAGTTTTGACAATTCACACAAAAAAACTATGCTGGTTGTAAAATGAAAAAAATATCCTAGAATTTTCAATAATTTCCTTTCTCAGTTTGCAAGTATAAAATATCATTAGCAAACTTTAAGACAAGGAAAAACTGGTCATGAATGAAAACATTTTCCCCCTTTATAGGAGATTCTCATTCATCTCAAAGATTTAGGTGAACCAGAATAACGTCTTCTACATAATGATGTATGAACATGCAAACCAAGTTTCACTTACGTTGCCCTGTGAATTTGAAACCATTCCTGTCATACACATGTACCCCATTATATCATTTTATCTTAGAAACATAAGCAATGTTGCTTGAAATTACATATGCAAAGATTTTTTTATAGAAGAGAAAGCACAAAGTACAGCACATTTTATTTGATGTTTTTATATGTGATCATAAGTTTCACCTACACTTATGAATGAGCTCCTGACTTGTATGCAGAAATACTCTTCAAGGCTCTCACCCATGAAGTAAATCTATTAGAGTGAGTTACATTTAAAACAATCTTACAAGCAATGCATTCCAACAAAGGGGTCTTGAAAACAAGAGAATTGGCACTTGAACTACCAATAAGTACTACTCATTGTGCTGAGTTCTTCAAGGTCAACATCAATTTTATTATCCCAATGATTAGTTTGGCATTTTTCCTTTGGCTTCCCGTTGCCCGAATTAAATTTTCTACATATACAAATACACGTACAATTAAGAGAAGTTCTGGTACGTCTACCTGGACAAGTAGTAAAATACACTACTGCTCCAGGTATTTGTACTTTGCAGGCAAAAAATGCTACAGGACCTTGATTACACTAGTAATTATTTTAATTTTCATTAAATTTCATGGATGCAAACAGAATCAGTAATTAATAATAGACCACAAAAGCAGAATCTATGTATGTAACTCGATTTTTACCTCATAATACTAAAATTTTTAAACGCTAAATTGGTCATGAGGTAATGGCAAAAGACTATGACATAGGTTAGATATACCTTTGATGTTCTTTACAAATCACTTACTGTTTTCAACCTTGCTGGGATCCTGGCACCAGAAATTTAGCCATTAATTACTTCCGGAAAATTGGTAAATATATTGCCATTTATGACTACAAGGTGGGGCAATAGTAGGCTTACAGTTGTTCATATGGAAAATAATACAAGAATTAATAAATAATAACACCAGAATAAACTCCGTTTCACGTACTCACAACTATAAACCTGCTTTTGCCCCACCCCATACAAAGATTATAAAGCTGTATAGAGAATGTCATAGCTATAGAATGGTTCCCATTGTTCATTCATTTCACAAATATTCATTGAGTACATAGGATGTGCTCAGCATAGGCACAGAGGGTAATAATGGCCTGGAGAGGTGGGAGAGGGGGAGACCCGATACAGTTTCCTGTCTTTCTGGAGCTTACATTGTCCTTGGAAAGTTCAGGAGTGCAACACTGGGCTGCAGCTAAGACATGGAAAGCACACTTACCTGTGAGCTGTCGCCGTCTGCTTCGGGTTGCTCCACAATTGGTGGAGCAGGGTGTAAATTTGGACCAAGCCGTGAAGGTACAGTCGTCTCGACATGGGACCGTGCATTCTTGCACAAGGGGAGGCATGCCATTTGCCTGCTTGAGGCATTCGGTCATTTCTGCTGACTGGTTATCATCAGAGATGCAAGAGATAGCTACAAGAGAGTACATGTGTGGGTTATTTTGTTGTTTTCAGTAAATCAGTCTGCTGCTGCTTATTTGATAAAAATAGTAGAATGCTCCAAGGTTCAAAAATGTAGTTGTCACTGTGAAAGCAAAGGTCTTCAACATAGCTATCCTTATTTCTCTCTGAAAATTAAATGTTTATTATTGCCATGGAGGTATTTGATGACTTAATTGGTTATTAAATCACTTTCAGTAATTTATTATGTATGTCCTGCCTGTAAGCATCTGATCTCAAGGGATGTCACAAAACTACGGAAGAGAACCAGTGAGAGTAATACCAGTATGTAGACAAAACAAAACAAAACAAAAACCCCCCCACACACACACACACAATCATCAGAGCTCTTTCTAGGTTTTCTTGTCAATTTTCTTGTTTAAATGTCACTTGTGGCCCTGTTTTCACTTCACAGTATTTAAAAAAGAATTTCTACTGTCAATAAGTAAATTTGTTTTTCTCATTAAAATTTCAGGAACAGTTAAAGATTTTAATTTTTTTTTCAAGTACAGGCATACCCTATTCCAGTGGTTCTCAACCTTGGCTGCACATTAGAATCACCTGGGAATCTTTTTAAAATCCTGATTTCTGGGCCTCATCCTCCAGAAATTCTGTTTCTTTGTTATGGGGTGGGGCCACAACATTAGTAACAAAGAAACAGAATTTCCGGAGAATGAGACCCAGAAATCAGGATTTTAAAAAGATTCCCGGGTGATTCTAATGTGCAGCCAAGGTTGAGAACCACTGCCCTATTCAGATAATTCCCACTACAAGTATCAATTGCAGATAACACTCCAAAGTCTCTCTCACATAGTTTTTATTTTTTAAATTGATTTCAAAGAGGAAGGGAGAGGAATAGGGAGATAGAAACATCGATGAGAGAGAAACATTGATTGCTGCCTCCTGCATGCCTAATACTGGGCATCGAGCCCACAACCCAGGCCTGTGCCCTGACTGGGAATCAAACCATGACCTCCTGGTTCATAGGTCGAAGCTCAACCACTGAGCCCAGCAGCCGGGTTTTCACATAGCTTTTTAGCTAGACTGTCTCTAGTCATATCATAAAATAACTAAAACAGTTATGACATTTTGCTTATATTTTGGTTTGATTTTTGGACTGACATTTATTTATTTATGAATGAATGATATGTTTGTGTATCTTTTATTTACCCTGGTTAATTGGGAACTCTCTGAGGATATATCTTTATATTCTCTAGACCAGTGTTTCTTAATCTTGGCATTATTCATGTTTTAGATTGAGTAATTTCTTGTTGGTACAGGAGTGTTTCTTGTGCATTGTATCTCGGGCCTCTACCTATTAGATACCAGTAGCACACATACCCTCTCAGCTGTGAAAACCAAACATTACTCCACACACTGGCAAACACTGTCCCCAGTTGAAAGCTATTCTTCTAAAGGATTCCTAACCATGGACTTCTCAGAATACAGAAGTTCCATGGCATGGCTTCAAGCCTGCTCTATCAGCATCTCTGGGGGAGAAACCCAGGAATATTTTGACTGTAAGTGCCCCAGGTGGTTTTGAACAACCTGCCCACTGACCACCCATATTTGGTGTGGTGCCGTTGGACATGTATGTCAATGGCTATTTGCTGAGTTCATGATCACAAAGAAACCACTGAGTAGAATCATTTTTATTACAGCTCTTTAAAATTTGCCAAGTTCCAAGGAATAAATAAACTACAGCTTAGGATCAACATTGTTAAAACTATTTATATAAACTATTACAATATAGGGTTAATGTACATAGGGGTTCCTTTCAGTTGCCCAATCTTATATTCCGAATTATGTTCTTTATTCTGAGCACAATAAAGAACAAGTCCACCTGAATAACATTTTTTAAAAACTGGTAAAAGCCAAATCTATCTAATGCTGTAAGACCAAGGAATTAGCTAAGATGACGATGGATGGACACACATTACTGCCCAGTTTGTATATCTGCCCAGTGGCAGGTCAGGCTATTCCTTCATTTTGAATAGTTTTGTTTTTAACCACATCCTGGGGACAGAATTCATCATACAGCAAGACAACATCACCTGCATTTTTTAAGTTGGGAATATTACAGCCATTAATGATGAATACAGCAAAATACTTTAAGTAGTGTACAAGCAAACATTATCTGAATTTTATGTTTAGCTAAACAACTTAGAATCAATTTAGGAGACTTTTATCAGGCCAAGTTAATTTTCCCCAAAAAATGGAAATGTACTGAATAACATGAAGAACGTTAAGTGCTTTTAAAAAGCATTGCTACTTTTCCAGTGATAAATTTATAGTATTCAAAAGAAATACTAGAAAATAAATGTCTAAAACTTGAATGCTATGATAAATAACATTTCAAGTTCTACAAATTATTTAGAGTAGAATACTCTAGACTTATGTCTATTGGAAGTATTTTTGCGTTAATAAATAAAAGCATTAAGAAATTTTAAAATAGCTATAGCATATGTTGGAATTAACAGACTTTATTGTCAAATGGCATGAATGCAACTACACACCTAAATATCTGGGATTTATATGAACTAAGATACATTATTTAAGTTTTTATGCTTTCATTTCCTCATCTTCAAAATGAATATGATAAGGACACCTATAACAAAGAGTTGGGAGCATTCTTAACACATTATCTTATACAGGCTAAGAGCTCAATAAATGCTAAAATTATTATCCTTTATATTTGTTTTTTAAATTTTCTTTAAATCAATCAAGCTCTTGTTGTCCTACCAAGTATATATGGACATACTCTTACTTTCAATGCCTCATTTCTTCCTTGTCATTCTCAGAATCCAAAGGATAAAGGTGAGGAGGAAACTGGTTGAATCTTCACCTGATTCTGGCACTACACTAACAATCATTAGT